TAATCAATACACCTGTGCCATCTGTATCAAAGAGTTTGTGTTGAGTCCCAATACCTTACTCTGGACTCTCTTTAGAGCTGCTCATGTCAGAATATTGTGTGCAATAATAATAAAAATAATAAATAATAATACTTGCAATACAATACGTCTAATAATACGTCTCAAAGCGCTTCACAGAATATTCTGTAAAGTGAATTGACTGTATATTTTGTGGGCAAAAATAAAGGACAAAAGGGGATACATTTCGGTGTGAATCCATTCACCAGTTTCATAATGATTCCTAGCAGGTAGACAGCAGTCATTGTGAGGGTGGGGAATATGACTGGGCAGCACAGTTAAGTAAAGGGTCCTGTTTGTGGAAAGAAGAATGCATTGTGGAGTCCTGTAGCTCAGTGGTTAGAGCACTCACTTTGCAAGTGAAAGACCTGAGTTCAATTCCAGGCAGAGGGCGAAACCTTGGGCAAGTTTCCTTACTCCACACAGAGCCTAATAATAATCCCTCCAAAACAAAACAATAATAAATTCGTCATTTTCAATCTACGACTGTTTGTGGGACATTGCTGTGCGCAATTGGCTGCCGCGTTCGCCCACAAATATACAGTCAAGTCACTTTACAGTGTGTTCTGTGAAGCGCTTTGGGACGTCCTCCAGACGTGAAAAGCGCTATATCAAATGCAAGGATTATTATTATTATTATTGGAGAGTAAGTAGTGATTATGAACGCAATATAGAGAAGATCAAAGAGGAAGGTCTTCAGTCGTGATCTAAAAGAGGGGAAGGGGTAGGGGCAAGGTGGAGGGATTGGGGGAGAGAGTTCCAAAGCTTCGGGGTGTGGTGGCTGAAAGGGCGGTGGAGCAGAGGGGTTGAGGGACAAGCAGGAGACCAGAGCCAGCCGAGCGGAGGCAGCAGGCAGTGGAATGGGGAGAAAGCAGGTCAGAAAGGTAGGGGTAGAGCATGTACAACTTACCCTATCAAAGACTACGCAATATATCAGTCTCTTGAAAGAAGATTTGTTAAAGTTTCTCCATGCTCCCCAAAGTCAATTGAGCACAATTTGAGAATAGCTCCCTAACCTTACATCCTACATTATTCATCTTTGACCTCCTGCTTTCTAAAGCATGACATTTCCATTGCCCCAGCAGCTTAGAAACCATTGTGCTCTTAAATGTATTTTATTATCTCTATCTGTAGTTAACATTAAAACATTCAATCCCATTTCCAGCCAGATATTTATCCTATTACATTTTTGTAAAAGGCGTTACATTTATTGTGTTAATTGCTTTTTTCTGGAAATCAGCTCCACATACATTGATAATAGAGGGAAAAAAATCTTCTATTCTATAGTCCCATTCCGACGTGATAAGGCACTATACTAAATGCAAGGATTATTATTATTATTATTATTATCCAATTCACTCAGCATTTGGATCAGGTCCCCTTCCAGGTATTGTTTTACCAATGAAAACAAGTCTCAACCACAAAGTGGGACATCTCGAAGATGCGATAAGGCTCTATATCAAATGCAAGGATTATTAATATTATTATTGAGCCAAATTCAGTGAGTCTTTTTTCTTTCTGCTTATAATCTTCCTGCTGAGTGCATGATATTCAAAACATGGGAGTTTAATTGATGATAAATGTAACAATAATGGGTAGAACTCCTTACTGTTTAATTCACTAGAGAATATTTGCTCAATGGCTGGTTGAAAATGTGCAAAAACTGACAAACAACAACTTGCACTTATTAATGTTGCTTCATTCATGTAAGGAGAACATCTTGAAGCACTTTACATTAGGTGGGATGAGACATTGATCAAGGTGCTGACTGAAGGCATAGATAGTCAAGGAGGTAAGGAATTAGGATAAGGTACCAGTTTCCAAATGAAAAAAAGGGATAGATCTGCAGAGATGGCATTCTGTTCTCTGCCTTTCTGACCAGACTTTTGGCACAAAATTCAAGATTAATCCTTCCTGTTCTTTTGGTGAATGTTCCACATTAAATCTCGTGATATCACCAATACCATATACAAGTTGTGCTAAGTTTGATAGAGAGAGAGGGAGAGAGAGAGCAGGCAGAGTTGAGGTTGACGCAGAACACCAGTCAGTTTCTTGAAGAACAGAGACAGGATACTAAAGAGAGTCAAACATGGAATGAGTGAGTGGGAAATGAGGCCAGGTAGGGGAACAGAGACTGGAGAAATGGGCTGAGCAGTTTACCTTAGCACTGAAGGAAGGGGTGTAAACGTGTGGAGCCATTTCTTCAGGAAGAATAAATATCTTTTGTTCCCATAAAATTGTCAAAGTGCCAAAAGAATGCAAGTCTCGGGACAAGAGAGCTTGGCGTGTAAGTGGTTTACATCAGCCTGAGTCTGAATGACTGACTCAATCTCACTGTGAAACTGGACCAGAGTTAGTTTTACTTGATGCCAGCACTGGTTCAGACGCCAGACATCACACCATCGACACCGCAGGTCAGACCGAAGCAGACCTGGGTTATTCTCTGACCTCTCAATTAGCAACACGGGGCAAAGGGTCACCTGGTTGTACTCACAAGGTAATGTGGGGGGAAAAGCAACACTTCTCAATCGAGCCACGATTTTCCACTTTGCTCTTTGTTAATGTATTTTTTTTCAGCGAGTGCAGATATAGTCAGAGAGATAAAGAGCACAAGGAGATCAGGAACATACTGAAGTTTTTTTTATTAGTGGCTGTAACTGCAAAAAGGCTGCAGGGGATAATGCAGAAACAGATGGTGTTAACACATGTTTTTTTCACAGAGTACAAGGACTCTCTCTTTTATTGTGGCATGAATGATAACAGAAACGAAAAAACATGAAAATATACAACTTATATTACACTATGTGTTATGAACAAAATATAAATCTATAATTCTATGTTATATTTACATATCTTTCTTTTCAATTTCAAGTTGAGATGGTAGATTCAGTTTACTTTGTTTTAAGCTCCACTTGTTTTTGATTGTCTTCCTCAACACAATCTGTGTCTTAATACCTTTAGAGCCACTTGATGGCTAATAAATATGTTTCAACAGTACAGCATCAGTAGAACTGAGTAGTCTGGAGATTGGGGGTGGGTGGGTGGGTGGGTGGGCGGGGGGTGGGGTGGGGTGCTGGGTGGGGTGGGATTACAGAATGCAAATGCCAGCGAAACGCACAAGAAATATAAAGGGAAAGGAAATGAAAAAAGTCCAACACAGCCTCCCAGTGTTGGCGTATAGATCCCTAACGGCTTACAAACCATGACGCCATGGGTGGAAAGCCATTCATGGAGCTAAAACAAAGTACTCTTGTCGTCTCGAGTCACATAAATAAAACAGCGTGTCCAAAAACAAAATGGTGAAAGAAAATCCGCTCGACGCAAGGCAATCTCTCGCACGACACGAGTCCGAAATTTGATTCACGCAGTCGAACAAAGTAAAAAACGTTTTCACATTTTACATCAAGTAAGTGATATAAAAAAAACACTTTTTTTTTCTCAGTTCTGTTTCTCAGTTATAGAGTGCTTCAGCAAATCAGTTCTAAAATGATAAACCGTGATAATTAAATAGAAATGAGTTGGATGAGAGAAAGATCCTCACTTCACTCTTGTCAAAATTATTTTCACTCCCGTTTGATTAAACATCATAACATGACAACACGTGGACCCAAATAAAGAACAAAAAAAAACAAGTTTATATCGAAATACCAGGCTTAAATATCTACAACTACAGGAATGCTGTGTGGCCAATCAATCAATCGATCGATCAATCAATCAATCGACCGACCGATTAATCAATCAATCAAGAGAGAAGAACTGAGGAAATAAATTATACATAAGTTACTAACTGGGGGGGGAATAGCTGACCATCATTATACTATTAAGAGGCAGTTAAAATCGAAAAATACAGTCAAAAAATACAAATGAAACACTGACATGCAGTTATATGATCAGCTACTCCACCTTTTTAACACCAAAGCAATAGTTTTTTTCCACTTAATCCAAAACCTTTTTTTTTCCTAACGACGGAGACAAAATTCTCCAAGCGAGTTCTTTTCTCTTTCTCGCTCCCCTTCCCCTCCCCACCCCACCCCCCCCCCCCCCCCACCCCCAAATAAAAACCATCCGAGGTATTGTGTCTGTTTCACATACCGATTTAATGCCTGACTGGCATAGTTTCAGCAAAACACATCAGACAGCGGCCAACAGAAATAGCTCTCTGTCTTTCTTTTCTCAAGGATCCATTGTGTTATTCTTAAGTGCTTACGAACACGTGAAAAAAGTTTGGTGTTCATTGAAGCAGCCTCCGCAAGCCATTGGGGAAAGTAGATCAGGAATCACAGCAACACAACAGAAGAGCTGGGAGTGGGTAATAATATAATCAGAATAATCCCTGCATTCGATACAGCGCCTTATCGTGTCTTCGAGACGTCTTGAAGCGCTGAATCTGACGATGCGGAATTTTATTCCCCCCCCCCCGCGCCCCCCCCCCTCACACACATGCTGCCTTGCTATTAACTGGTCTGACATCTTATAAAGTACCATAACACCCACACGCACACACGGAATCCACAAAGTTTCTCATGTCTTCAGTCATCTCCCCTTTCACCTGAGAACTGCACCTATTTCCTACGAATCTCGCCAGCTGCTGGTTTGAAAGATACATGGGATTGTCTAAGAAACATAATGCTGTCCTAGCTTAAGACTGTAGGAAAAAACACACATTAAACTATTCCAACAATTACAAATTTGGCACTTGCTAAAGAGTTGCATTTTTTTTTTAAAACGGTGTGCAACGAACGAACAGACGAACGAACAAACGAAAATTACTCTGTGAGGGTGCAACAAGTTCATCGATACTCAAGAAAATAGATTTCCTTTGAAACAAAGGTAACTCGAGGGGAAGAAAAAAAACCACACTGGACTTTTTTTTTAATCTTTTCATCCGTCACTAATAAAAACAGGTGGTGGGGTGGGGGGGGGTGGAGAAACAGGGAGGGGGAACAGGGGGTAGGGGGGAAAAAAACAACACCTTTTTTTCTTTATTGTGGCACTAAAACAACAAAACACATTCACAAAGCCACTTGTTGGCACTGTGTACCTGAGTGAGAGAATTTATAGAAATGTTGCAGAACAACAACTGCAAGTATAGACGTAGCTCGGGAGGGTAAGACACACAGTGCTTGGGGGGGGGTAGCAGCTGATTTTACTGGCACCGTTTTACCCATAGCTTATCGTTTTGTTTTCGTGCCCGTACCATAGGCCCGAAGTCCAGTTGTCAGTCGAGTGCTGACTATATATCCTGTTTATTAAGACTAATAGTTTTAAGTAACAGTCAGTGTATCGGATAGTCCTAATGTGCTTGGCCTCTGGTAGGATGGACCAGATGAGGAGCTTTGTCTTGTCACCAGGTGTCTCCTGACCCCCCCACTCCCCCCCCCGTCAGTCAGTGTGGGCAGCCACATGATTCTCGTTCTCACTGGCGTAGTCTGCGTCCGGATCGTCCTCGTCCTCATCCTCGTATTCCTCGTACATCTCTCCGTTCATGTCGCTGATCCTCAGCTCCTCTTTCACTCGGGCGTCCCCTGACTTCAGGCTGTAAGTGCTCTGGATGACGGGCAGGCTGGGCTCCGGGCTGCTGGACATACTCGAGTGTTCGGAGGGTATCTGAGGCGAAGGCAGCCCTGCCATAGCGATGGCCCCCGGATACACCACCCCAGCTGTCGTCAGAGGAATCTGGCTTTGCTGCCTGCGGACACACACAGATATGCACACACACACACATGCACGCACACGTACACGCACACACACACACACACACACACACACAGAGGGGCAACATCCGTTAATAATGGCACACGCCCCCTCAATGAACAACAACAACTTGCATGTATTTACATAGCGGCACCCACCCCCCATCACTCATGCAGGGTAGCATCCCAGAACGCTTGACAGTGGCGGAGCAAAATGCAGAGCCGGGGGGGAGGGGGGTGGGTGGGGGGTGGAGAGAAGTGACCGTAGGCACGGTCGAAGAGGAAGGTCCTCAGTCACGATCTGAAGATGGGGAAGAAGGGGACAAGGCGGAGGGATTGAGGAAGAGTGAATCCTTAAGCAAGTTTGCTTACTCTACACGCCTCTAGTTTACTCAGCAGTAAGTCAGTAAGGTGTTTGGTTGTTCGGCGATTGGGGAAACAATTTCCGGGGGTAATAATCTCTTCAAAAACATTTGTTTTGGGTCACTGAATCCATGAGTGTTTGCGGGACGCTGCTGTGCGCAACTGCGTTTCGCCCACAAAATATACAATCAATTCAAGAACATAGGAAATGCAGGCGAAAAAAAGGCCAAGGTCCATCTAGTTCACCTTCCTGGTGGTCGCAGGCACATATGCCCGAAACTACCTACCAAACTGTCACTGAGACGTCTCAACGATGTGATATGGCGCTATATCAAATGTAAGGGTTATTACTGAATGAAACGCCATCTCTCCAGGTGCATCTCAGTCACACTGAAGAGCAGCAGTAGTTATGCTGTCTTTACACCCTACATTCCCATTTCCCACACTACCCTTTACACCCTGTTGACAATCCATTACTCTGTCGAATGTGTAAGAATTTACAGATAGCAGATCCCACAAGGTATAACCTTTTTCCCCTGTAAGCTATTTTGACAGATGTCAGCGTCCTCTCAATGAAACCAACATTGCCCTTCTGTCAAAGTATACGGCAACTCGCTGACCAGAATATCTTGAGATGCACCACACTGTCTGTTCACCCAACCTATAAGTGATTGAGCTTTAATGTTGCCTTAGCATGGTTTGATCTATAACATTGTCATGTAAACAGCCTGCAAGGCAGATGGGCCTCAGTAAATTGCAGTATATTGGCAACACTGCAATGTCACCAGTCGGGCCTTAGTCCTCCAGATGAGTCACTGCTGAACTGACAGAAGTCCTGTCGTTTTCATGGTGGAAAGACATTTTGGAGAGAAAAAGAACATCAAATGTCCTCTTTACAGATTAATTGACAAACGCTATGAATCGTGTGAGCGAATTTACAGCGAATTCAAAAAAAAGGGTTTTACTCTTGCCTTTGAAATTTTAATGACGATAATCATATAATAATCCTTGCATTTGATATACCAGAATAACAGAATCAGAATCAGTTATCAGAATAACATTATCATTATTATTAACAGGTCGTTGAGACGTCTCAAAGCGCTTCACAGAATATATGTAAAGCGACTTGACTGTATGTTTCGTGAGCGAAACGCGGCAGCCAATCGCGCAGCGTCCGCCCCACAAACAGAGGTGGATTGAGTGACCAAAAAATTCTAATTTTTTTAGTATATATATATATATTTTTTTGAAGGGATTATTACCCGCGGGAAAAGCGCCAATCGACTCTTTATAACCACAGGCCGGGAAGGATTAATAGATTGACTTATTTTAAAGAAAAGAAAGAAAGAAAGAGTAACCATTTTTACCCAACAGTAAAGAACTGTCTCATTTCCTGACGCCTGCTCCGCATCAGTGCTTTATATTCACCGATTCTCAGTTTCTTGCCGTCCACAACACAAGTGCGTTTGGGCCTTGGTTTGTACTTGTAGTCTGGGTATCTCTCCAGGTGCTGTTTGCTGAGTCTGGCTTGCTCCTCGTAGTAGGGCTGCTTCTCCAGGTTTGTCATGGCTTTCCAGCGGGACCCTGTGTAATCACAAAAGAAGGTTTTACAGGTCAGTCAAATTCACACAAGGAAATTCCTCACATCTCTGGCTCTACAATCTACAGGCACGCATTTGGCATCACCTGAACGGCACCATTGACCTCATTTTCTTTTGTTACTTTTTCAACGGTGCTGGTGTCTTGAACAGTGTCTTAAACATCGCAAGGGGAATACTTGGCGCATATTTCTATGTCACTCAGTGCTCTAAAGTAATAAGCACTGCACACAAATGTGCTGAAATTCCAGTCGTAGTTCTGCAAAGTGCCTTTAGAAGATGTTTGATTATAAAAGGGAAATCCCAATAGTAACATAACATCTCCAAAGGCGTTGAGAGGAATTTCAGCCCTAAAGGTTTTAGCTGAACTGTTCACTTCAAGGCCCATTGCTGGTCTGCGAGGCGTTTGACCCGTGAAGTACGAGATGGTGTAAAAGATCACATGTGGCCTTTGCACAATTAACTGTGAAACACAAACACAAAAGTTGCTTCTCTGCAGTTCATCTACCATTGCGAGGGTTTAGCGTTGGGATTGAGTTTCTTAATAATCACAAGACATAGAAAGCAGCTCTCAGAATGTATGTCTATTCACTTAACTCTAGCCTCATGCCCAGCAGATGATATCTCTGCCAACCACTGAGAAATCGGTTGCCACATAATAACCATAATAATACTTGCATTTGATATAGCGTCTTATCACCTCTTTCAGACGTCTCAAAGCGCTTCACAGGATATACTGTAAAGTGAATTGACTGTATACTACATTACATTAAAATATATTGGAATACACAGCACAGAAACAGGCCATTCGACCCAACTGGTCTATACTGTATTTTGTGGGTGAAACATGGAAGCCAACTGCGCACAGCAGTGCCCCACAAGCAGTCATGGTGAGTGACCAAATTATTATTTTTTTTTAAGGTATTATTACTCCTGGAAAAGCGATCCGCCAATCGACTGACAACCAGGTTTCTACTTATTGCTGGGTAAACAGAGGCGTGTGTGTGGAGGAAGAAAACTTGCCTAAGGTTTCGTCCTGTCCTGGGAATCGAACCCAGGTCCTCTCGCTTGGTACTTAATCAATAAAACAAAAGTGATGTTAGTTAGTTATACCCGAGCTGTGCCGTTGTATGACTTTTACTACACTTCACATCTTTATCAATGGCCAAGGTGGCACAGTGGGAGCTGAGTTTGTGGAGCAGGTTGTTCTTGGATCTCAGCCTACTCAACAGCTCCTACATTTGGCAACGATTCTCCTTTATAAGAATCTCAAATACCAGCCACAATACAAAACATCTCTTAAAACGGTGCACAATATTGTTATGTCTGTTTGCACCTCAGGTGTTCAATCTAAATAGCTGAGTTAGTTGCATTGTTCTGAAGCAGAGTTGGAGGTACCATTGCTCTATGCGTTTGACAAGCAACGTAAAGCCCAGATTGACCATCTAGCCTGTCAGAACGCACGGACCTCAGCATGATTGATGTTGGCCAAAAGGTCAAAGGCTGCCGTTGGAGGAAGGCTCTTCGGACCAGTCATCTGCAGAAGTACGCAGTGACCTTAACGTGAACTGAACCCTTCTCTCTATCATTAATCAAAGGCAGCAAAGTAGCTCTAATGGAGGGTAATGAAGATAAGAACTACAGTCCTCTGCTACAGTACGTAGACAGTGAGATGTGTTCAAATGGTAAATGGCTGAAAATCGCACCTAGTTAAAATGAGGCCGTTACAAGTCATTTTGATTCAGTTCGATTATTTTAACTGATTGTCTAAAAGAAAAAAAATCTTTTTTTTAAGATTAAATGATGATGCCTTTACAGGGGAACTGGCTTAAAGAAGATGGTGACTCTCTACTCTCTACCCCCTCCTCGCTCCCTCCCTTCCCTCCCCTCACCCTGACCATTCCCCCCGGCTCGGGTCCTGATCCAACTGTCCTGCGCCTTGGGACGTCCTCCCGACGTGAAAGGCGCTCAATAAATGCAATCTCGTTGTTGTTGTTGTTGTAGTGGGCCTAACATTGTGAAGGAGTGGAAGCAATGTTGGTTGAACATAAGAGCATAAGAATTTCCTAGACACAAGAAGATCCAAGGTCCATGTCATGACATGTCATGTCCCAAACTATACACTGTATCCCCAGATATTATTTCCTAAAGGAAATCTGTCTAATTTGTTCTTGAAAGAATCAACACTTTCTGCTTCCCCTTCTCCCTAGGGAGCAGGTTCCATGCATTTACGACCCAACCAATTTCTGCACGTTTCTTCCTTGCTCCTGTTGACTGGCCATTGTACCGCACAACGGAATATTGGGCATAGCGATGTAAATTAAACAGTTTAAGGGCCTAATGCCTTGTGCAACCTTGTTTTTCAGAAGCATTGTTGGCCATATACCCACCAACCTTCAGGTTCAGCCAAGCTCTGCTTTTGGCTTAGAATCAATCATATTTTGGTCAACGATATAAATCAAACACAGTATTTCACTCCCTGTGTGGAACTATTAAACACACTGTTGGTTTAAAGCACAATACAGAACACATTAAAACACCCACAAAAATATGCTGTTTATTGCCTTGTATTATTCAGCAGTCTTTGGGGTCTCCATCATTTGAAGGATTTTTATTAAAGTCATATGTTCATAAAGTTCATAAATCTCCACATATGATTCATCCGCAATGCCAGTCCCTACCAACGCTTTGGAAGAAGGTCTGACTGTCTTGCCTGCGGATGATCATGAAAACAGGAAGCCAGAAGTTGAGGAAGAGGCGGGTTGGCACTCTGGGAAACGTGGAATAGGATCCAACATTCACAGAGCGAAACCACAGCCAGCCAACAACAGAGAGAGAGACTAGAGAGCTCTCGTCTCGTCTCATTTGCAAAAGCCTCCACAGAGCCCCTTGCGGGAGGAAGGAAGTGTTCTTCATTGCACCTGGAAAACAAGAGGAGTCACATTAGCCAGAGAGAGCTGCCAGCTCCCTCGAGCCCTCCCCCCATCACCCCTGCCCGCCTCCGATTCTCCTCCATCCCACATTTTGGAAGCAGCCGGAGTATCCCAAGGGCTCCCAACACCCAAACTGTTTGGATGAGGTGCAGACGAGCTCCCACCAGCTGCACAATGACATTCTTGTATCACACCATGCAGTTGGCTGTGACCAGTTAGCAGAGCAGGTTGCCTGTCTCTTCAGTCTGTTGACTATACAGGTCCACCACCTGCCACCCTCTTTGTACATAACTCAGCGACATCAGCAGCCAGACCTCCAATAGTGGCTTTGGTGAGCATCGTTGAGTGCCAACATGGCCAATGTGTGACCCTCCTCTCAAGGTGGATCCTGTTGAGGATCTTCAACATCATGGCCTTCCTCCCAAAGTCCTATTAAAACATCATACACCAACTTATAGAAAGATATTAGCAGCGAAGTTAACTGCTAATCTTTTTTTATTATGTAAATATCAATAGAAGTTATTTACCTTTTATCGAAGACGTTAAATAAAAAAGTGCTTTCTGTCACTCCTGTCTGTCTGGGGATGGCTTTGACTCGGTGCTGATGACAAACGAGTTCACATTTCTATTTGCAGATCAATTCTTTCAGCCCGTTTCAGTTTCGAGCTCTCGCGACTCTCCATCGAGCCCATATTGGTCTGAAATGCTGTACTCTGTCCAGCGCCTTGGACGTGAAAGGCGCTATACAAATGTAATCTTGTTGTTGTTGTTGTATTAAGATTTGAACTTGCATTTTAGGCCAACACTTTAGTGTTGAGTGTGTTGATGCTGACATCGAGGTCAAGGCTTCTTGTTCAATCCCTCCGCCTCGTCCCCTCCTTCCCCATCTTCAGGTCATGCCTGAAGACCTTCCTCTTCGACCGTGCCTAGGGTCACCTCTCCCCCTGGCTCGGTGTCGTGCTCCGACACTGTCAGGTGCCCTGGGACCTAGCTACCCTGTGTGAGTGGGGCTATATAAGTGCAAGTGGTTGTTGTTCTTCGCACAGCAATAGCTTTTGTTGGAAATCCTAAAACTGCTCTAAGTAGTGTATCGGAGTCAATGACACTGGTGTTTTATATTCGCTACGATATTTACGGCAGATATTTGCCACTTAATCAGAGAAAGGTATCGCCAAACTTCCAAGGTGCTTCCCTGCATGCATTTTCAGTGCAGTACAGAACCACCAGTTGACCGATACGCTAGTGCTTGTTAGCAAATGAGGCCCCTCTGCAAACGGAGAGGTTGCATTGTAGAGTTGAAGGAGGGAGGCCCTGGTTTCTAGGTGCCAGCAGATGGGATAGCTCTGCCCGCCTTTGCAGACCTGTGGGTGAAGATCCAGCTGCCAGCAACAAAGCTGTGGCCTACGCCACTGCACGTGCATAAGCTTGTGGGGAATCACTGTTGTCTATCTGTTGTTTCCCGACCGCTGTGGAAACCGCCCTGCGATGGAAATGGAAACGGTTTCCACACAAGCCCGAGGCACTACCGCAGAACTCCTTCTTGTAGTGGCTCATGTCACATAAACATGCCATTAGTCAGTGGCAGGCCTGCCCGCTTCGTAATTGTTTTAGTCTGTTTTAGTCATCGTGGGGAACGCACTCGAGTTTTGATTAGCAATGAAACTCACACCAAAGATAGGGTAAACCCGAGAAACTGTTCCACCGTAAACAACGGTGGCTCAGAAGTAACTTCACCACAAAGAGTAAGATCCACTGAACATAATAACAATAATCCTTGGATTTGGCATCACGCCTTTATTAAGTTCTTTGAGACATCTCAAAGCTCTTCACAAAATACCCTGTAAAGTGAAGTGACTGTGTATTTGGTGGGCAAAACACAGCAGCCAATTGTTCCCAGCAGTGTCCCATAAACAGTCTTGGATTGCGTGTGGGGTAAGGAAACTTGCCTAACATTTCACCCTGTCCGGGAATCAAACCCAGATCGTCTTGTTTTTGGGGCGAGTGCTCTAACCACTGAGCTACAGGACTCCATGTCCTTAACTCAGAGGATTTCTACAATCATCTCATGTCAAGCTCTGCTCCTGTCAGGTTCCCAGCGACTCCCTCAAAGCAATTTGCTTGCTCAGCACTCACTTTGTTGTATTCACATTTATAATTATAAAAATATAATGGAGACCTGGGTGTGGCATTGGCACCCAGACAGCGATCAGCTCTCTGAGTTCAAATAATAATCCTTGTATTTGGTACAGAGTCTTTCAAGTCCCAAAGCCCTTCACAGGATATACTGCAAAGTGGAGTGGCTTTATTTATGGGCAAATGATGCTCATAAGCGTTGTTTGAAACCATTTACGAGTGAAATCAGGAAGCATTGTTTCACACAAAGGGCAGTGGCCATCTGCAACGCTCTCCTCCCAAAAAGGCTGTGGATTACGGCTGGAATCCATTCACATTTTCAAGACTGAGGTGGACAGATGTTTGTTAGGTCAGGATATGGGGGCAAAGGCAGGTAATTGGAGTTGTGGTACAGATCAGCCATGATCTAATAGAATTTCAGAACCGGCTCGAGGGGCTGAATGACCTCCTCCTGTTCCTATATAATAACTAACAATCCTTGCATTTGGTGTAGCGCCTTATCACGTCTTGGAGACGTCTCAAAGCGCTTCACAGAATATACTGTAAATTGAATTCACTGTGCATTTTGTGGTAAAAACACTATGTCTACCCCCTAAAACCCCCCACCCGCGAGATTATGATCCAATGTAAATTCATTTATAAAAGGTGAGGTAAAGATGGAAGGCCTCTCTTTAAGCAGACAGCTGTTTCCTCCCTCCCCACCCCCATCCAACCAAATTGCCGCAGCTAACACAGTAACTCCTTTGTCTGACCCACAGTCACTCCCTTTACACATTCACAAAAAGGAAATGAACAAGGAGACCAGCTTAGAATTCTTTTTTTCAGAAGCTTTAGAGAACGGCTTTGTATTTATTTTTTTAAAATATCAAGACGGACATGATGACGTGCCCTCAAAATGCCGTCTCCTTTCAAAGCCTTTATCGTAAAACCAATAGATTTAACCCTCTTCTCAGTTTTTCTCCCCTCTCCAAACAAATAAATAACTCAATAAAGCCTCTGCGCACTTTCAATTCAATTATTTTTACCGCAGTTTTTTTTTTAAGATGGTAACCTTCTGAGAACGATGGTGCATTATGCTTTCATAATTCCATCTCGGACGTGCTGTTTCCTTTAGTCACACTTTAATCCTTCTTTCCCTCTTTGCTAAATAGTGGCTTCTTTATTAGTTGCTGCAGTCAACTTTCTTGGATGTACGTCATAAGAGCTGTGTAACAAGCTTATATAACTTCCAGCAAGGCCCCAAATAACACAAAGCACAATGCAGAAAGAACAATGGAAAGAAAATTGCATTCATTATTGATTACGGCTTCAAACCAAAATACATTCTTTACAGCCTCTTTGGTTTCGTTGGGACAATCTAGTATCAAACCTCGTCTCCCGTCTAATCCTGAAAGATCTCCAATCTTTGCATACCCAGAGGGACAAGAAAATGTTTAATGCGAAATGTATTCCTTTGGTTAAAACCCTTACAGAGAGGCATATTTATACTCACTATTTGTATATTATAGAGTCATTCTAGAAGCTGTTCAAAATGTCACCAGTAATCTCTGGAGTCTATGTAAAATGTCAGTCTTACAAATACATACGCTTCTTTGTACAATAAACCACTTTTGAGCTTATTGTTCTACTCCATTGCTGACATTAGTTCCAGTTTGTGGCTCTATACGGTAGCTTTTTACAACACACTTAACCGGTTCTTCAGTCTCTGCCGTTTAATAATCAGAATTATCTGATCTCAACTTGCTAACCTTCTGAAGACAATACGCATGTGTGCCTCTCAACTGCTTCTTATCCACCTCAGAAGAGTCAGCTGAGGATTCTGTACACCCTCCCAGGTGGAAGCTACAGACGTAAACTGCTAAACCCCACGCATGTGCAGGTTACGAGCAGGCTCTCTGTCTGCATTCACTGTGGAGCTGTCAAGATCTTTCTGGGCAGAAAACAGTGACGTTGATTTCAGAGTAGCAATACAGCACCTCAGACTGAAACAGTAACTGCGGTGATTGAAGGACTCACTCACGCTGTAGGAGAAAAACCTTTGGGGTTTTCTGCTCGCTGAAATCACTGGACCTTCAGTGAATGATGTGGTGAGCTTTCAAATAGAGACAAACGTCTGTTAATGTCAGTCAGGATGATGAGGTTTGCCGAGGTGAAAATTCAGTACATTTTTTTGCAGAATCGTACAAATTGCGTAACCCAATACAATACAGTGTCCAGTCACGAGGCGCCTTTCATGTCAGGAAGACATCTCACAAAGTGGCCAGCGTCTCTAGTTGGGTACCTAGTGTTGGGGGGGCGGAAACCGAACAGGGGGAAATCATTTGGCACTTGATGCGGGTGTGTTAGTTCCCCCATTGTAGCCACCCACTCTACAACAACAACAAATTACACTCGTATAGCGCCCTTCACATCGGAAAGACGTCCCAGGGTGGTGGACAGTCAGGGGGTTTGGACTCGAGCTGGGAGTTGGGGTCAGGAGGGGTGGGGGGCAGTGGGTTGTGGGGGTGGCCGAAGGCACTTTCGAAGAGGAGGGTCTTCAGACGGGACTTGAAGGAGAGGGGATGATCTCAAATCCCATTCCCCTGTTCCATTCCACATAGTGCTTGCAATCGCGCTAGTTTCCAATGACGCTAGTCACTCTAATCCTGCTCCTCTGCTCTTTCCATATCAGGTGCTTCTGTTCCCACTGTCTACTATTTTCTCTCTCTATCTATTCTTAGTCCTCCACAAGCTGCAGGTCATTCAGAACTCTGCAGCTCGTGTTATGTCCCGCACCAGACACCGCGCCCACATCACTCCCACCCTCGCCCTCACCCTCGTCCTCACCCTCGCTCGCCTCCACTGGCTCCCCATCCCCCAGAGGATCGAATTCAAGATCCTCACCCTCACCTACAAGGCCATTCACGGCCTCGCTCCCTCCTACCTCTCTGACCTACTCTCCCCCTCCCTACCCCCCCGTACCCTCCGTTCCTCTGGCTCCGGTCTGCTCCACATCCCCCGCCCCAACCGCCCGACCATCGGTGGCCTTCAGCCTCTCAGCCCTGAGGCTCTGGAACTCTATTCCCAGTGCCTTCGCCGCTTCCTCCCTTTCCTCCTTCAAGGCCGGTCTCAAGACCTTTCTCTTCGACCGTGCCTTCAGCTCCGCTCTCGACTCTCTACCCCCTCCTCGCTCCCTCCCTTCCCTCCCCTCACCCTGACCATTTCCCCAATGCTCGGGTCCCAACCCAACTGTCCAGCGCCTTGGGACGTCCTCCCGACGCGAAAGGCGCTCTATAAATGCAATCCTGTTGTTGTTGTTGTTGTGGTCCCCCCTCTTTCCCAATACCCTTTAAGATGTTATCCTCAAGAATTGTATCCACTTCTAAATGCTGCAGAACTACCTCCCATTACAACATGGTGTTCGGTGTTTCATAAAATTGACATTGGTAGAAACTCGAGAACAGGTGTGAAAAGGTGGACGTTTCACAAGGAGGGACTATCAGGTAGATAGAAGGGGAGAAAATATATTATAAAGTGAGGCACTCAAATGAAGGAAATAAAGCAAATCATGGAAATTGGCTAATAATAATAATCCTTGCATTTGATTATAGCGCCTTATCACGTTGTCGAGACGCCTCAAAAAGCTTCAAGGAATACACTGTAAAAAGCGACTGACTGTGTATTTTGTGGGCGAAACGCGGGAGGGACCAATTTTTAAAAAAATCTTCGCAAGAATATTATACCTGGTCAGTTTCAGATCCGCCGTGCGCATTTAAAACTTTTCACAAAACATACAGTAATTATGCTCGGTGCCGTTGGCCAGCCGTCACGATTTTTGATGCCTCCAGATTTATCCCTGTTTACATGCAATGCTTTTAACTAGAAATTCGTGATAAAAACAGCTCTTTAAAAACCCTTTAAGAGGCAATAATTATAACGAACGTTTCCCGCAGTCCAATCCGCTATTGGGCGAGTTATCTCTGTATTTTGACATTAAGGAAGCTGTTTCTTACAAAAAAAAATTGTAATTTAATTTAGCAAAGTCAAAGAATAGGTGACTCACAAAAAGAGTTACACGGTTGTTATCTGTCAGACTGTCAGAGAGAATTACATGAACATTATCTCCTTAAGGATTCGGTGTGCCTTTTGTCTTCAAAGGGATGCTGTTTTTGCTCACGCTTATTAATTAATCATATCGACACAGCGCTTACATTTTCCTACCTGACAATGAAACTTCAGTTTCAGTGCTGCTAAGTGCTGTATTTAATTACAAAACTACTGAGCAAAAGACAGGCATGAACTTTGCTGTGTTACCACCGTCCTCTTTTAACAAAGCTGTGCTTGACGTGCAAACAATTGTTGCCAACAAGCAGTCACACAATAACCTGTATTGAGGAATTAATTCCGTTGACTCTGCGAGCCGACGGGGAGAATCTCTTACCGAGTATCTTACTGATGTTGGAATTGTGCATGTCAGGGAAAGCTTGAAGTATCTTTCTCCTCTCGTCTTTAGCCCAGACCATGAACGCGTTCATCGGACGTTTGATATGTGGTTCGTTGCTGCTCCTGCCCCGAGCCTCTCGGTAGATTCTTGGCTCCGACACACCTGCGTTTCCTGTCGAACCGCATTAAAGAAACAGGAACGTTTAGTGCGAGGCACTTTTTACATTGGTTACCATGTTTTTAAAAAAGAAACAGATGCCAGCATCTAATTGAATGCAAATGTCTTTCCCCCATCTTCATCTGTTCCTACTCTAGGTGTAAAATGGGATAAAGCCTTTTAAGGTTCATGGTAGAAAGTGAGACACTTTTACAATATTTATACTTGCTGTTTATACTACAGATATTTATACAAATACTATAACGGGATTAAACAAGGGGCTGATTTGTGTTTTTTTTTAATGGGATGCCTCAGTATGGGATTCCGAGACATACAAATGAGAGAGGCCAGAACCCCTAACTTCATGCGAGTTTCAGGCTTAGTAAAATTGTCGTGAAATGTAAGATTGCGATATTTTGGAAAATGGTCTTAATAATTATCATATTCCTTGCATTTGACCAAGCGCCGTATCGTGTTGTTAATATACTGTGAAGTGAATCGACTGCATCTTTTGTAGGTGAAACGCGGCAGCCAATTCTACATAACTGTGGATTGGTCAAATTATTATTTTTTTAAGGGATTATTACCCACCCGGAAAGCGATCCGTTAAACTGACTAAAACTGGGTTCCTACTTACTGCTCGGTAAACAGAGGCGCGTGGAGTAAAGAAATTTGCCTAAGGTTTCGCCCCGCCCGGGAATCGAACCCAGGTCCTCTGGTTTTCAAGGTGAGTGCTCTAACCTCTCCACGATAGACTTATAGACCGCTCACCATCTGATTCGCCACTCATGTTAAAATCTACCATCCCGTGACCAAACTTGCCATCTTCTGCTTGCTTTGCGGTCAGCTGCTGGGTGAGACTTTCCAGTGTTGTTTTGTCCTGTATCTGTAGATGACAAAGAGGGTAAGAATCACTACCGAACTGTGTGCCCTGAATTTCCAGGTGGAATATTTATTTTCCAATGTGCGCTACAATAATAATAATAATCCTTACATTTGATACAGCGCCTTTTCACGTCTTCGAGATGTCTCAAAGCGCTTCGCAGGATACACTGTAAAGTGAACTGACTATTTTGGGGGCCAACTGCGCACAGCAGCATCCCATGGAGTCGCTAAAACAATTTCCATGCTGCATTTTGTAAATACCTTTAATAATAGAGGCTGATGTTGTATTATATTTCAAAAGCTGTCAGAATACTATGAAGATAAAGGAAGACAAACTTGAACAAAAAAAGACAGTAGTCCTAATTCAATTTTCCGACTCTCATTACACACTTAAAGAAAGTATTTCAGAAGCAAGGAATACCTGTCACTGTTCATAAATCAAATTTGAATTTAAATGGCTTCCAGGCTTCTAATTGCTTGTGAGCTTAGAGGATGAAGGGCTATTGCGATAATACCTGAGAACAACTTGCAGAGCCAAATTAGGATTTACGTGTACTTTAAATGATGCTCTTTAGAGCTCCTTTTAATGATCCCACCTTGCCAGATGGTGGGCAACCGAACGGAAGACAAAAACGCTAAAAATAAATGTTTTCTTTCTAATGGACAATACTAAATGACTTGAGCTTACGTACAGTGAGGTGAAGTGACAAGGACTAACACAAAAGGCAAACACGATAAACATTTGATTAGTATGCAGTGAATCGTGTTTTATTTATAAAGGCAGGTTCTATTTTTCATATGTATATAAAAAAAGAAATCTTTTCCAGTTTTTAGCAGGGTCTCAACAACTACAATTATTGCGATTGAAGGGGGGGTAAATTCAGAACAAATCTGGGGAAACGCTACTTCGGGAACAGGCTCCCTTGGGAGTCAGATGGTGGAAGCAGAAAATATTAATTGTGTCAAGAATAAACTAGATAGATTTCTGCTAGAAAATAATATTTGGGGATAGATACAGTATATAGTTTGCGACACGACATGTCAAGCGACTTCCAGGACGCCGGAAGGCAAACCAGATGGACCCTAGTCTTCTTTCGCTGAGCAAGTTCTTACTGAAAATGGTATGTTTTTGAGGTAAAGGGTTAAAAAAATGTCAGTGGTTTAGAGTTGCATCAATAATGTAACCAGATCTCAATAATTTAATGTCTTTGATACAGGTTGAATTTAAATATTTATAGGGGGACTAATAGATCTTAAAAAAATAAAGAAAATGTAAGACAGAAGTATCTATCAATGAAGTTATTTACATCTTATTGTTGTGGAACTGTCAAAGCATAAATAGTGATGCACAATAGTTTGGAGATGCAGGATAACTCAATATAATCTTTGATAAATCCTGTCAATTCTTCGACACACTGTGCGAAGACAGAAACATTCTTTGACAGAAAATATTATGGCAAATGGTTCAGGTGATGTGGATATGTGCTGAAATATCCTAAAGAATTTTAGCAATTTAAGGTTTAAGTGGGTGGTCAGTTAATTTTCCAGAACCGTATTTATATGTTTGTCATTCCCTTTGTAAGCAATTTCTGTTGGGAAATTTGCAGAGAAAGCTCAAAACTAGAGTCATGTTTTGCTAAAGCCTTAATCATGATAAACAGGATTAAACAAAGTTTTGCCCACAAAACATACAGTCAATTCTCTTTACGGTACATTCTGGGAAGCGCTTTGAGACGTCCAGAAGAGATGAAAAGCGCTATATCAAATGCAAGGAATATTATTATTATTGATTTCAAAATACTGATTTATGTTGCTATCAACATGGGTTGATGTTTCATAAATACCCTAATTATACCCATAACATAGATGTTTATTGAGGAAATATTCTTTTTAAACTTTTAAAATAATAGTCTTTCAAAACTTGCAATAGTAGTTAATAAGGTCGTGCCTTTTTATGTTGGTTAGCAAGAGTGCGGTTATGGATCTTTACAAATTTAAACCCACATCGTGTATCTCTTTTAAGTTTAAAATAAAAACCCTACATTTCTTCAGAAAATCCATTCCAATGTTTGTACACACCGTAAAGTATTTGCAGCCTTAAGTTCCGGAGCGTAACAGAGAACAGAACAACAGGATGCTTGAATACTGCATCGGGTTTGCCAATTAACGTCAGCCAATTCTCATTTCATTTCATCAAACGCAATACTATCTGCTTCTCTGTAGTCTGCTACTGATCACCAATACAATGCTTCCAATGTCCTGGGCAAAACATCTGCGACTCATGCTTTCTTTTCCAAAGATCTCGACTCTGACACTTACTTAATAAGAAGCACATGGTGATACCAGGCGGTTCACATATGGCTGGGCTGTGCCACTTGTGTTCCAGTCAGTAAAACAAAGCTTCTGTACTTGTACACATCACATCTCATTTGGAAACCGGCAGCAGAAGAAAACAACAAGCCTAAGCTTCGTACATAATTCAACATACATTCTCAAAACAAACACCCGAGAGAGAGTATTATGTGCACCAGACTCCGAAACTGTCGAGCGCTCTGGGACGCTAGCCTGTGTGAAGGGCGCTACGTAAAACGCAAGTTGTTGTTGTTGTTTGTTGTTGCGATGTCGCTGCTTTGCGAAGTGAACGGTGCCCTTTTGTGATTCTGCTTTCGATTACAAATAAAAACGTCGAACGAAACTGACAAATCTCGTGTCCTAACCGCTCGTTCATTTCAGTTCAATCTCGTCCCTTCAATTTAATTTAATTCAGTTCAATTCAATTCAAAATCGGGACCATTAATAAATGGATCGTGTTCTAATTAAAGGAAAAGTTTAAAAAGAAACACAATCGGTCTGCTGTGATGATATACTTACCAATTAAGAGGAATTATATTGCAAAATGTTAAAGATTTAGCTTTCATGTTTGTCAGTAAAATACATTTTGGTATTAATAATAATAATAATCCTTACATTTGTGCACAGTAGTGTCCCGCAAACAGTCATGGATTGCGTGACCAGGTTTTTTTTATTACTTAATAAAGTAAGAGTTCAACAAATGGACTATTTTACAGTAAAAATCTTCCTTTCCCAACAGTAAACGACACACTATTCTCTCCCAAATCAACATCCAACACAAAGAAAACAACAGCTCATATGAGAACAGAGTAGATAGGACTCACTTTGTGTAGAATAACATCCCACAAATGTGCTAAAACTTCCAACAGTATCAAGCGACTTGGCTTTGAAAAATATAACCAGAATTGGCTACCTTTCAGATCATATCCTCAGAGGAAGTCAGATTGAGATGGTTAGTGTCATGTACAGTCAGATTTACTTTTATTGCGCATAGATGTGCATTGACTTAAATTAACCCTCAAGTCACTCAGGGAATGCTTGTGTGTGCTTTTAATTACAATCTGCTCAGCAAACACACAGGTCAGAAAAACAGTGAATCTAAACTCCCCACAGCCCAGACTGAATATTGCAATTATTAATGGATTGTATGTAGTGTAGATTTGAGGCGGAGGAGCGGGTGGGGGGCAGTGGGTGGAGGGAAAAACATTGGATTTCTCAAGCTTTTCACCAACCCTTTACATAGATCAATAAAAATAAGATCAGAGCAAACAAACAAACAAGATGCGGGCAGAAAAACGTCAAAGAAACAGATATCGCTCCCCCCCCCCCCCCCCCCCCGCAACTGTGATCAAATGAATATAAATTCTGTTTAAATATATTGTGTAACTTGATTGGCAACTTGATGGCTGATGCTTGTATTTAGCAGAATTCCCCAATGACAAAAGAAGCCTATTGTAACATGTCGGTCTCAAAGGCAATGGTGGTGATGGATTCTATAATCCCTGCCTTGTGATTTTTCTCTCCCCACTCCGACACCAGAATAACAAGCCACCTTCATGACAGCCTCTGTGAAACTGGGCATATCTTCAGCATCAACTGTAAGTCTTGCAGCTCAGTGGTTAGAGCATTCGCCTCACAAGCGAGAGGACCTGGGTTTGATTCCCGGGCAGGGTGAAACCTTAGGCAAGTTTCGCCCACAAAATTCACAGTGTATCCTTTACAGTGTCTCCTGTGAAGCACTTTGAGACGCCTCAAAGACATGATAAGGAGCTACATCAAATGCAAGGGTTATTAATATTATTACTAGTATGCAAAACTGTGAAAAGATTGGCATCGGTGAGATTTTGATTTCAAGTTTGCTGAAGTCACTGGTCTTGACTTAATCTTTTACTGAGTGCCAAGATCATATTCATGCCAGCGAAATGCTACTTAATATTTTTTCCCCACAGTCGTTAAATAAAGTGTTTTATGCAAGTGATGCTCATTTCGTTCTTAATAGAAACCTTTTCTGTGCCCTGCACTGTCAACTCGAGTGGCTGCAGTCTCCGTTATTGCAAAGGGACTGTTCTTCCATGTTCTGTCTCCCCACAACTGGCTTGTTTAACAGACGTTTCTATACTGGCAAGCTTGGCTCATTTGCAACCGGAGTTCAAATTCACTTCCATTTTCCTTAAGAAGAATCAAAGGAATGTGATGCAATGTTGGGTGTATGCTGTTGAAATCTTGGATGAACAAGTAAAACCTTGCATCCGGTTCAGATTATTCCATTCCCAACTGAATCTCAGTTAACTACAATTTCTGCCAAATCAGTCCCACCGTCAATTGGTTTCAGATGATGGTTAAAAATAGGCCTTGCGTCTTAATATGGGGAACCAGTGCTCTGGGACACTACCCCGTGTGAAAGGCACTTTATAAATACAAGTTGGCGTTGTTATTGTTGAATAAAGTGAGAGGATTGCTCAAACATTGCATCAGTGTGGGTTGATTAACACAATTTAGACAGAGGGAGTTTCAGAAGTAAATGGACCAACGTTTTGCTGGTTCCAAAGAGCACCGCAAACGTGAAGTTTTTTCTCTAAGCTATAAATATTAATAAATAATAACCCTTACATTTATTACAGCTCCTTTTACCTCAGGAAACCATCTCAA